ACCATAAGAAAATAAAATTTAATCACAAACTGAAATACAATGCAATAAAACTAGCTATTCCATTTTAAGCACAGACAAAACAAAACAACCCAACAGTGTTTCATCTTTTAAGATGCCTACTCCTAAACAGAGTATTCTGGATGCCAGGAATAAAACAAAACAAAACAAAACAACCCACCAAACAAACGTCTTCATGAGGGCACAGATCTCTCTGGCATTGATCATATAAGGGTCAGTCCCTACTTATTCCTTTACCCAGCATCTCTGTCTAATTCAAAGTAGCTTCAAGTAGTGTGTGGTACATCTAAGCTTTCTCTACATTTTAGCCTTCAGCATGTATTTCTGTCTTTCCTTCAGAGTCCACAATCAAGATAAGATCCTGAAAAACTGGTATGAGTGGTACAGAACAAAGTACAAAGATCAAAGATGAACACCAGAGGTTAAAAATGGTCCTACTTAATTAAGACCTTACTTAATTGTTGAGAAAACCAACTCAGAGGCTAAGTGAAATGTTCAAGGCCTAAAAGAGTTTATTTTCTAGTTTGATTTCTGGACAACTGCATTACGCTATCAGGATAACTTTAGCTAGTCTGCCCAGCAGTCTCCAAGTGGTCAGGTATGTAAAAAGGAGATGACTTACAATTTAGTTTCTAGTCTGCAAACACCTGCTCCAATCCTATAATATAGTATGTAGAGTACGGTTTAGTTGTTTTCCACCTTTTAAGGGGAGGGAAATTCATTACTGAAAAGAATTATATGGCTATATGAGTCTCTAAGCCTTGTCCTCAGACTATTCCCTCTCTCCTGGGTCAGGATGACCCTGCCTCAATTTGATTTAAACACCAGAAACAGAAGCCCACACATGGATGTGCACATTTGTCATTCTAGCACTTAGGGGGTGGAGGCAAGAGGTTCAGGATTTCAAGGTCATCTTTGCATTCATAGCAAATTTAGGCAAACCTGATATACATGAGATGGGGGCAGGGTTGGGGGGGGAAGAAAGGAGGGCAGAGAAAGATCATGTATACATTTGTGTATGTATAGTGTGTGTGTTCAAGTAAAGAATAATCAGCAATTGAAAACCCAGACACTGGCCAGGCAGTAATGGCACACGCCTTTAATCCCAGTTCTCAGGAGGCAGAAATAGGTGGATCTGTGAGTTTGAGACCAGCCCAGTCTACAGAACAAGTTTCAGAGTTCCAGGAAAGTTAGCGCCATACAGAGAAACCCTGTCTCAAAAAACAAAAAACAAACAAGAAAAGAAAACCGAGACACCCTTCAGTCTCAGTAATGTCTACCTGGCATGATGGGAGCTCATGACAAACTGCAAGCAGCCTAAGTAGGAGAGGAAAAAAAAAAAAAGAATTTCTGGCTCCCAGAATTAGTTCCATTATTATCATGTCTTTACTCTGGCTGCCCTCCTCCTCTGTGGCCCTGTGATCATTCTACAAACATCTCCTTCATACCCTTTGTCTCTCGGTCAAGTAAATAGTTGTTAGCTAACCTAGGAGATGATTCATCTAGTGGATAATATTTCGTCAAAGAAGCAATATGGGATGATGATGTGGAGAATGTGTTCTTGATTTCTAGGTCTGTAGCTAATGGATACTATTAAGAGGGACAAAGCTCCAAAATGGCAGAGTTCCACATTGAAACAAGACAACTTTAATTTTCAGGGACTGAGACAATATTTCAGAACTCGAATCAAAAGTTACAGATGCCATATTTAAAAACCAAGTCACAAGTGGCTTGTCTAGAAATGTCTAACATGTAGAACTTGACTTTAAAAAGAAGATGCAAGAAATGAGTTTTGAAATGCTAGGCTTAAAAGAGCTCACTAATTAACTAAAAAAGAAACCATTTCCTCGTTTCTGAAGTTGCAAGAAGCAGAACACTTAAGTCAAAGGCCAGATCTGAACCAGGGTAACTTTCTTATCTTCCCGCACCCAGCAGACCATTCCCAATTATCAGGAGACTGTTCTGCATGAAGCTACAACCCTTTTCATTTGGGACAGCATCTGTGACCAACTTTAAAGAGATTTTAAAAGACAAAGTTTTTAACTGAATTTTATCAAGTAAATTAGCAAATGGTTCATTCTCTCAATGCCAATCATCCTAACACTTAGTAGCTATGAATGGAATATATCCAGAATATGAATATAACTATATATAAATAATTGTTCTAATCTAGTAACTGCAATTTCCTTTCTCTATGTATATCATGAACAATATATAATTGGCAAACAAAATTATTACTAGGGTCACACACGACCTGTTTTGAACAAATCCAGTTTTGTTGCTTTGTTTTCAGTTTTCTAAATCCTTACATACTGTCTTTGAGACTGAAACCACCCCAGTCCAGTCAAACTTCAAGGCTGACCTTCTATAACAACTGTGTTAACTTTAGTGGCTGCTATTTTTATCTCTCTCTAATATGTACCATGAACCTTATTACATGGAAGGCTTCTGAAAGTTTCATATACTTTATGGAATGAGACAAATCTGTATTATAAAAGTATAGAAACTTTAGCTCCCTTCACCCCACATTTCTGGCCATTTTCTTTTTTATTACCTTTATTAATGCTTGCATGTGCTTGCAAGTGTATTGTATTCATGCATGTGTGCATTCACACGTGTGTTCAGGCATGTGTATATGTGTGTGTGTGAGAGACTGTATGCCATTTGTGTTCAGGCGTGTGCATGTATTTTATTTGTATGGATGTTCTGCCTACATGCATGTCTGTGCACCATGTGCTTGGGATACCTTCAGGGACCAGAAGAGGGTGTTAAGATTGTCTGGGACTGGAGTTCGAGGCATTCTTAGGTGTTGAGGCTCATTCCCGTAATCAGAGCATCCAAAAGACTCAGGAAGGAAAATCACGATCAATTTGAAGCCAGCCTGGTATAACAAGGAATTAAGAACTTGGAAGGATGAAATTCACAGGCCAATAATGGAGGAGACTTGCATCTCAGGGTACACCAACTAATTTAGCTAATACCGCATAGCTTTGCAGTTATTTTCCAAGTTAAAAACTGTTCCCAATTGCTGTTTGAGAGGGAAAGACAGGGCAGCTTTCGGCTCCTGAGTCACATTTCAAAACCTTCTGATTTTAGTAGATCATTTTTAATGCAAATACATCTAAAAAAAAACTATTTGATGGTCATTTATCACTGTATCATGGCAGCTTATAGGTTGTACTGAAAATCCTAAGCAATATACTAAAGATGCCTTAAAGAAATGGATGCTTTTAAGAAGTAAGATATAGATAAGATCAGAGACAAAGAAGCATTAGCCCAAAACGATGCCCAAGTGCCCACAGGTACTGATAGCTGGATTGCCAATGTTGATTCTGACCTTTCCACCATCTCAGTCAGCAAGACATTTCTGAGATGCAATCAGCACCACAAGCCCTCTACCTCTTGCTAAAGAAGCACAGTCACAATGATAAGTGAGGAGGCTGTCTGCCCATGGAAAGAAGTCAGCAACAAATTGAAGGAAGTAACGGACATATGGAGGCTAATTTTGACACACTAACAAGACTTCTCTTTACTCATAAAATAAACTGGTACTACAAACACTTGTTTCACATGCATAAGGTTTTTCTTCTCATAGTGTCAGTACTGACCATGTCACAGAAGGATTACACTTTTAAAAGTATGTTTATGCATAAAAAAGGTCTGCACACCTGGATAGCCTCCTGAGACCCAACATCTCACTGTCATGAGTATTCCTGGGAAAGCAGAAACAAACAATACATGTGAAGAGAAATAAAATAAGCAACATTGGAGGGTCATGCATAAGCCAAACATGATTGAGAAAGAAGATTATTTGGTCCAAAAGATAAAAGATCATAACACTTGAAACATTTCAACACAGAAAACAGAAAGCAGATTTTTCGGTAGAAGGCAGGGGAAAGGATGCATTTCCAGAATGAAAAGATTACACAGCCACAAATCATTTTCTTTTTCAGACTTTCAGTATAAAAAAAAAACCACAAAGCAAAAATAGAATCATATACATTATTGAGGAGTAGAGTGGTATTTGGAAAACATGGCTCTGACACCTCTGGCCAATCTCATGTTTCTTGACTCCTGCTGAAATGCTCTTATTATCAAAACCGTCTAACTAAAGTTTATTACTTTGTCACTGACCAATAGGACTGAATTCTCAGTCTTTTAATAACCATGCATGCTTGGAGCCCAAAACTGGGACAGTTTTTTTTTTTAATTGTTTTGGTAGAAAACTTATGGTTCTGCCACTTTTTTCCACTTTATTGTATGAACCATTTCCTAGGAAACCTATTCACAAGGCGACTTTTGTCTGAAATGTGATCTAGTAATTTTAATAACTTATAGCTTAGTATTCTTTTTATAGGAAGTTGAAGGGCAATAACTTCATCTAATTGAACTATACCACAAACTACAGGCCCTAGAGATATGTACTTTTTAAGTACCTAGTCTAGGTTAATGCTTCCTTGGAACTGCTTCCTAACACTCAACTTATTTAAAATCATTTCCTCCAATGCTGGTGCTAACTGCACCATCACTTTTGCCTCCATTACCTTCTTTTGCCTGAGAAGTTTTTATCTTTGATTGGTGACTGATCTTACTCAAAGATGTTCTTGATTTGATGTCTCTGATCTGGTTTCACATTTTTCCTCCGTTGTCCCTGGTATAACAAGGAATTAAGAACTTGGAAGGATGAAATTCACAGGCCAATAATGGAGGAGACTTGCATCTCAGGGTACACCAACTAATTTAGCTAATACCGCATAGCTTTGCAGTTATTTTCCAAGTTAAAAACTGTTCCCAATTGCTGTTTGAGAGGGAAAGACAGGGCAGCTTTTGGCTCCTGAGTCACATTTCAAAACCTTCTGATTTTAGTAGATCTTTTTTAATGCAAATACAGAAATATGTCAAAAAATGAATTGGCTTCTTCATTCAATTCTGAGTCTGTCAAGCCCTCCTGCTATTAATGATTAGCTTATTCCTTGTTCAAGGGATCCTCCCAAACTGACTGCTGTTACAAAGAATGTAAATCTTCAGGAAGAATATGGTGTTCCACAATGATCAGGCCAGAGAAATTCCAAGAGATGGTCTTGTATGATTCCTTATAAGAGCCTAACTTCTGAATCCCAGGTAAGTTCTTCTTAACCAGTGAGGAGAAGAAAAGGATTAGGGAAGTTGAGAGGATAGTTAGGAAAAAACAAAACAAACACCCAAATAATCAGTTTAACATTTTTATTGCCTACAACAGCTATGACTTGATAGTCTCAAAACCCTAAGTGAAGACCAAGTTAATGATGAAAAGCAACAATCAGAACAGTGACTTATTTCACTGCAGCAGCAGCAGAGGTGACTTACTCCTTACCTTTTTCATTCCTACTCCATTTCTGCAACTCACTAAGAAACAATTATCTAAGATTTAAGTGGCACTTTGAAAATGCCACCTTAAAAAAAAATCTGGACAGCAAAAAGAATAGTATGTTTCTCTAAGCTACATGTCATTTTTCTGTCATCTAAAAGCAATATGGTACTTGTGAAAAAGAAAATACTATCAACTTACAAATACACTGGAAAATACATACTATCAAAGCTTTTAGAAGAACTCATACTTCATAGCTTACATTTTTTCTGCATTTATCTAAAATACAATAAGTAAGAACTCAGCTGGCTCCAGATATGAGAAGATCATATACCTTTTTCTTTTGGCACTACCAGTATCAGAAGTGGCTGAAGAGATCATGCTGTCTCCATCCTCAATGTCATCTCTCCTGGCAAGCTCTTTCTTCTTTGCCTGAAATAGAGTAGATGCCAGGAGTGAGCCTCACACTGTCAGGCATTCTATGAATATATGGATGTTAAAGAACTAGGCATATCACATTCATTTAGAGAGGTACCACCTCACATAGGATACATAAAACTGAACAGTCTCCAACTATTTTTTAATAACCTAATTTAACAAAAGCCTGTGTGACAGAAAAGTAGGCTAAAAAATGGAATCAAACTAAAACACAGTGCTACCTAGAGCATTTATGACTGTCAATGGCATGGTATAGTTAGAAGTTCCGAGACGAGCTGTGGGGTTGGCTGGCCCTGCAGGCCATGGTTAAGTTACGTTAACTTAGAGGGGGGCCTTTGGCATCTGATTTCTAAGGAGCAGTATGGCAAAGAAAAAAAAAGTTTAAAACTGAGAGGTGAAAATCTAGCTATATCTTTCATTACACATCTTTTAAAGCTACTTTGCAGACACAGTTGAAAAGCCCAAGCACAGCAATCTTAGAGAACAGACTAACTACAGCAAAGATATCTGAAATTCACAGCACTGAGAAAGCAGTACTGATCATAAAAAAAAAAAAAAAAAGGCTCTATGTTTGACTTAAAATTGCCTTTGCTTCTTCTTGGTTCAAGGCTACTCTTGTTTCCAGAAATAGTCAACCAAAAACAGTGAGACAGAGGCCAGCAAAATGGTTCAGCAAGTAAAGAATTTGGTCCAAGTCTGATAACTTGAGTTTTCCTGAACTCACATGGGAGGAGAGAACTGACTCCTACAAACTGTAACCTGACCAGCCCCCTGCCACCACACAAATGAAAAAGCAAATAAAACCCAACAAGAACAAAAAACCTCAAATGTAAGTGTTAATCTGGAACTCACTCAGAGTTCTGGCCTCGACCTCAGAGACTGCCTACCTCTGCCTCCCAAATGCTGGGATTCAAGGCGTGTACCACCACCACCTTGCTAGCCTGGGTTAATCTGTATTTCATATCTACCTTTTTGTCTTAAAAACCCCTAGATGATCAATAGCATCTAGTTCTTTCCAAGGTATGCTATGAGAGATCTGACAAACTCTTGGATGTTACAATGATCAATTAGCATTCAGATGTCCTGTTGCCAAAATCAGTAACCCTAAAGCGCGCGCGCGCGCGCGTGTGTGCGCGTGTGTGCGCGTGTGTGTGTGTGTGTGTGTGTGTATGTGTACACTACAGGGTCTTGTTATATATAGCACAACCTGGCTGGAAAATTAGGATCTTCTTGCCTCAGCCTCCTCCTGGGTGTTGGGATCACAGGTGTATGCTACCAGGTCCTAAAAGACTACCCCATATCAACAAAGTCTAGAACCAAAAAGAATAAACTGCAGACAGAACAATTACCATGTGGAATTGAAGGGTAACTTTCTGAACACTGAAACTGGCTCTCTCCACTGGGCCAAATCCTTGCTCCCTCTAGTACAATATTTATGGTACTTAAAATATTCTTTCTTCTCTATATGGCTCCGATAAATCTAAAAAACATTCAACAATATTTGTAGCGGAAACAAATGATTCAATATTCTGAGGGTGGAGATAAGGGACACATATCTGAAAAGGACATTCCAATCACATAAAACTAATTCAATGATACAACAAACAGCAACATACCTGCATGACTTGCTGCAATTTCAGGACTCTCTTATAGATAGTTGAATTGGGAACATTATAGCGTTTGGCATTTTCAAACATTAAATTCAGATCACACTCCAGATGATCTAAAGTTTCATATTCCTGGTTTTTTAGCTTTGTTCTGTAAAAGACAAATAAATGATTAGAAGTTTCTATTATGAAAATTACCAACCATTCTTCTTGAAAGTTTATTACAAGAAACTTTCACAAGCACTACATAATGTCTTTATTAATCACTTGTAACTGGCTTTTAAGTTAAGAAGTAAGGTCTAAAGAAATATTCAATTTAGACAATATTGCTGTTTACCTGAAAAATCTAAAAGAATAAATTAAACAAAAGGACAGAGTAAACTATGAATGCAAACACACTAGGAAAATTCCCAGTGAAAAAAATCCTGAGGGGAAAAAAATTAGATTTTAAACTGCTTCAATGAATCACTGTGAACTCCTGATTTCTGAAAATTAGGATGTATACAAGTAACCAGTGATAAGGTGCTGAGAAAGCACCTAGAGTAACATATTTACCTCCAGAGCCAGAAAAGACACACAGATAGTGAAGGGGGCTCTCATGATGGGAAACAAGAGAGGGGGCTCTCATGATGGGAAACAAGAGGCAGATCTGTCAGAGTCTATTTGTTACTATTCTTCCAGGGCAGTCATTTATAAAGAAGTAACATAGTTTAGAGCTGAGGACTGTTTATTTTACTTAAAATCCCTAGGAATTTGTATCTTAGACACTATTGCTATTACTATCAGCTATGCTTTTTGTATAAAGTCTGTTGGCCCTAACTGTATGGATTTTGGATATAAACTTTTACATCTTTGATTAAAGTACCTACATGCTAATCACTGAAATAAAAAAAATTGTGCTAAGAGAATGACAATAGGTAAAAACAGCCTCATCAAATGGATGTAGAGATCCCAAACTTTCTCTTAGAATGGTACTATTCAATATGCATGTAAAGGTTCACTTTAAGTTTATTCAAGTGATATTCAGATTCTGTGCAGTGCTTAAGGAGATGTAAGTATTGGAAAACATCTCTGGATATAGCAAAAACCAATTAAGCACAAATTCAGTTCTTAGTACTAGCTCATGAGCCTAACGGCAGAATTTAAATTACATTCTCAGTTTATTCTTGCCAAACCAAAGGTGAAGAAATAGGTGTTAAGAACACCCACAAAGAACACAAACTCTGGGCTAGCAAGAGTCAGTGAGTTAAAGCACTTGCTCTCAAGTTTGACATCCCAAGTTCAAACCCCAGATCTCATAGTAAAAGAACTGAACTCCTGAAGTTATCCTCAGACCTCCACACAAGTTACGGTATGCCTGTGACTGCATTTTACAGCTACATGTACACATGTCACAAAACAAAATCCAAACTTGAAAATGATAGTTTGCTAGTCACTGCTAGTATCATTCAATGGCAGTCTTCGGGGGGGATAGAAAGGGACATGGGGACGGCAAACCTTAGTACAATGGAGAGTGGCATGAGGAGTCACACTGGCCAGTTCCTCTAAGTTTGTTTGCTTTCCTTTTGGTGGGGCTGGAGACTGAACCCAAAGGCATGTTAAACAAACACTACCATTCACACAGTCCCAGTCATCTACTCTACATTTGGGAAGGCATCTACCTCCCTTCCTTCTGCCAACAAATATTCCTAGGAGCATGCTGGATTGCACAGCCATTGAAATTGAATGAAATTTAAAATCAAGTTTCTTACTAGCATTCACCAAATTTCAAGAGCACACCATTTATAATCACACGTCTGACACACATAGTATGATATTTCTGGCATCATAGAAAGCATCTGAAGAGCATAGCTGGAGACACACTACATCTATCTTTCAAAACTCTGGTGTGATGCCTCAAGGCCTCAACTATGTCCCTACTTCTCATTCTTTCACACTGGTACACTACAACACAATGGTTCTCAACATTCCTAATGCTGTGACCTGTAAATACAGTTCCTCATGTTGCGATGACCCCTAACCATAAAATTATTTTGTTTCTACTTCATAAGTGTAACTTTCCTGGTACATTTTTAACTGTTATGAATAGTAATGTAAATATCTGACCAGGCTATCAGCTGTGACCCCCAAAGGGGTCACAACATATAGGGTTAGGACCCCTGCACTAATACAAATACCACAGAAAAATTTAAATGAAGGAAGATGCAGATGAATCTTTCAAATTCTATATTGTCTCACTTAACAAATCGATATTTGTATTATAAAATTCCAATTTGGAACAACTGTCAACTAAGATAGCCGAGGACTTTATTTGGCTTTTAAAATGAACTAGACCAATGACTAGAAAGATGGCTCTATAGGTCAGAGCTCTGGCTGCTTTTCTAGAGGACTGAGGTTAGATCTCAGCACCCACATGGTGGCTCACAACTACCTGTTCCTGGAGTTCTAGGGAATCTGATATCCTCTTCTGGTCTCTTCAGGCACCTGGTACATACACAGTACATAGACAGACATGCAGACAAAATACCCATACAAATTTTTTAAAAGTAGGGGTTTTGGGAACAGGACACACTAGGACATGGTCCAACATTTAAGAGCACTTACTGATCTTATAGAGGATCTGAGTTCAGTTCCCAGTATCCACAAGGTAGCTCACAACAGTCTACACCTCTAGTTCCTAGGGATCCAATGCCCTCTTCTGATCTCCAAGGACACCACATATGAACATGCTGTACATATGTACACGCAAGCAACACTCACACAAATAAAATAAATCTTTAGAAAGTTAAAAAATTAATTAAACTACTTGAATTTCTTTAATTAAAGGAAAAAGAAACTAAAGAAATTTTTTTTTAATTACAAGGGAACTTCATAACGTCTGTAAATTTATTCTCCTTCCTAAGGCAAAGAATATAAAAGATAATTTTCTAATAAATGTTAACCTAATTTCTGTTTCATTTTAGTAGGCCAAATAAACTGATTTTCTATATGCTGAGGCAGGAGGACTTTGGAGACAGCCATGACTATACAGCAAGACTATGTCAAAAAAGCTAAGTAAATGAAAAAGTATCCATGAATGACAGTGTGGGCATGAAGGTTTTTTCTTTACTCAGTTATGAGACAGACAATTAAATACTGAGGTAAAAACCATTTTTTTACCACTTAATTCCTTATCTACTTCTAGAAGGAATAGGTGTGTGCAGGCTCAGTTAACACGGAGACATATCTACACTGAGGAATGCAGAAGCGGTCTTACCTGATTTGTTGAAGTGATATGGGCATTTTAATCTGCTGATAATAATCTGGGTATTTTTTCTTTGAAGGCAAATGGAAAAAAGGTTCGGCTATTAGCTGCCCTTGGTTATTGCGACAGCTCCTGACTGTGTCATAAAGCTGATGAAAAGGATTTGAAACATCCATGAAGGAAGTAATGCTCTCGGCTTCAGACTCCCCTTCTTCATAACGTGCAGCTGAGAAGACAAAAACATATTTACCAGGGAAATAAAGACAAAACGATCCACGTTTAATCTTAGTGATTTTTAAAACGATTTTATGTGGCATGATCAAAAGCAAACATGTGAATCTTTGGCTGATTATCTTAACGAAGCTAATAAACATCGGACTAAAAAAAAAAGATTTTATGTGTATGAATATTTGCCCCCATATATGCATGGGTACCTGGGGCCTACAGGTCAGAAGAGGGCACTGGATCCTCTTGGTTTAGAGTTACAGACAGAGTGAGCTGCCTTGTGGGTGCTGGGAATTGAACTTGGGTCATCTACAAAGCAATAAGTGCTCTTAACCACTGAGCCATCTCTGCAGGCCAGAACCAACACTTTAAAGCGTGTTTTTTTTTTTTTTCTTTCCTTATAAATTAGGTCCTACACCATGGCCCAATTTGATCGAGAGAGCTCAGAAATCCTGTTTTCGTCCCTTGGGTGCTAGAATTATGGGCAGGCTCAATCATGTTCAGAACCTATTTATTTTTTGGATGAAGGGTTCACTACATAGACTTGGCTGGCCTCCAACTTACATCTACCTCGCAAGTGTTAGGTTTATAGGTATGTGCCACTATGTACAGCTTTGAAAATGATTTTACAAGATCTCTAATTTTCCTTAAAAATAATGTTAAATATGGCTAGAGTAAGTACTAGAGAGATGGCTCAGTTAAGAATACTTGCTACTCTTCCAGACCTGAATTAATTTCCCAGAACCCTCAGGTGATAACAACCTTAACTGCAAAACTACAGGGCATCTGATTCCTTCTTCTGACCTCCATGGGCACCTTCAAATACATGGCATACACTCACAATACATACCACACATAAATAAAAATAAACACCTAGTGTAATTGCACATTTTAGAAAAATATTCCCTGGAAATGGAAAATTCAAAAGTTGCACTCAGTTAAAACACTAAAAAAGTTTCTTTTTAAAATGTGATTTCGGGTTGTGAGATGGCTCAGTGGTTAAGAGCACTGGCTGCTTTTCCAGATGGACCCAGGTTCAAACATTCCCAGTACCCGCATGGCAGCTCACAACTGTCTGTTAATTCAGTTCCAGGGAATCTGACACTGTCACACCAATGTGCACAAAATCAAACTAATAAATAAATAAATAAATAAATAAATAAATAGATAGATAGATAGATAGATAGATAGATAGATAGATAGATAGATAGTGATTTCTTCTAGCCTTTGTTGACTCCCTGAAAGTCTTACCCTCTCTGAGAGTGAATTAGGGGGTGGGATAAAGGGTGGTGGGGGAAGGTGGAGTGATGTGGGATTCCCTTCTGTATGCTGTGAATACTACTGGTAAATAAAGAATCTGCTTTGGGCCTAATGCACTGCAAGGCAGGAATTCCAAGCAGATAGAGAAGGAGAGAGTAGGCGGAGTCAAAGAAAAGCCATGAAGTCACTGCAGGAGACAGACATCGGATGGACCCTTACCTGTAGGCCACAATCACATGGCGATACACAGATTACTAGAAATGGGTTAATTTAAGATCTAAGAGCTAGCCAATAAGAAGCGTGAGCTAACAGGCCAAGCAGTGTTGTAATAATACAGTCGCTGTGTGATTATTTCAGGTCTGGTGGCCGGGAAACAAGCAGCCCCCATCAACAGTGGAGGGAGTGGAAATTGGATTTGGCATGTAAAATGAGAAAAGATAGTTATTTTTCTTAAAAAATTAAAAGAAAATATGATTTCTTCAGACTTCCTGCTATGCTCAGCCAAATGGAACAAGTAGTCACTTGGAGATCTCAGTACCAAAACAGAAGCAAGAGGTTCAGTGATACAGTTAGGATCTGCAATGTATCCCCTACCCCAAAGACTCATGTGTTAAATGCTTGTTCCTCAGAGTTGCATTAACTGAGAGGTGGTAGAAACTAAAATGTGGATTAGAGGAAGTCACGGGGGCATGCATCTGAAGGAGGGAATGAGACCCTGCTTCTCTTCCTTCTCACTTCCCAACACACAAGGTAAAAGGTTTTACTCTATACCATGGCCCCTAGTATGTATGATATGCTGCCATGCTACAGGACTAAAAGAAACACGTCTGACTGATCATATACTAGAACTTCCCAAACTGTGAGCCAAAGCAAGATCTGGTTTATTATCATTAGGTATTTGCTAGGAAAACAGAAGACTAACACATTTACTACAGGACAAATTTAGATTAGGTTGATACTCTCAGACATGATTGCCCCAGTCATTTCTAACATCAGAGAATGATTGATTCCTTAGTAAGGAAATGTTCAGTAGAAACTAAGTCATAAAAACACCAGAACAAAGCAAATAATTTTTATAGAAATACAAAACACATGCTGCTCAATTCTCTAAAGATTTAGTTACCTGCATGTATGTGTATAAGCTGTGTGTGCAGGTGCCTGAAGAGGTTAGAAAAGAGCTTTGTTTTGTAGCTAAGGCTGATCTTGAACTTCCTGACCATCCCCCAGAGCACTGGAATTACAAAATATATTACTACAGTTGCTTTTATGAGGCAACGGGGAACAAAACCAGGGTTTCATGCACGTACAGCAAGTACTCTACCAACTAAGCTACATGCCTGGCTCTCATTAGATTTTTAAACTTTATCTTTTTCATTACTTTTACATTAGTTGGTATCCTTCTTATACTATTATCAGAAAAATGCCCTACATAATTCTGAAACATTCAAAACCTATTGANCCAAGCAGTTCTTTAAATGAATACAGTTTGTGTGTTGTTATTTCGGGCGTGAGCTAGCCAAGCGGCTGGGGTGTTGGGGACGCAGCCCCGCCGCGCTTCTTATTTCAACATAGATATACAAAGGCAAGGACTCAGATTCCCAGATAAATCCCACGAAATGCAGGGTGGTAGGAAGTGTTTGCTCTTTGTGCCCAATCCTGACATGCAAGATCCCACTGCTCTGTGGAGCAATATATATGAAGGCGACAGTTTAATATCCCCAAGATTCATTAAGAAATGGTCTGGTTTCTTACCACACAACAGTCTGGACCTTTGCCCTCCTGATATTCCAAGGGATGTTTGGTAATTGCCACTTGGTTCTGGTGATCTTTCAGACATGTACCCCAAATGGTGTGACTCAGCATCACAATCATTTCAGAACACAAGGACGGACTATCTGTGCCACTTCTTCTGCAGGCAGGCGAGAAAAAAATAACTCCTGGGCAGAAATTTCATCTAGCAATATTCTGTTCAAGAGGGGACAATGTCATAGGTTTGGGAGCTTGTTTTAGGGACCCCACTGAGAAACAGCAATTCGCTTTTAAACATAGGGTGATTTTTCGATCTCCTTTGTTTGAGTATGCAGAGATTAGCCTTCCTGGCCTACTCAGAAATGCGTATGATGTTGTCAGTTACTTTACACTCACGCAGTAGTACGTGTTTGTCAGAAGGCATATTTATGCAGATGCCCTAAAGGGATGGCGTCTTGGAGGACACAGGAGTGTAAATCAGCCCTGTGCTTGAAGATGTGCAAGTGAAGGAGGCAGTCTCTCCTCGAGAGCTCACTGGAGCCTTCTGTCCTAGAGGCGGCTTGCGTTTCTTAGGTACCTGATTGATTTTAGGGCTCCTTCTTTCCCTGCAGAGGCATCTGGCGTGCTACCTGCTCAGAAATGGTCGAAGTGCCTTTTCCTCCAGGGGCATAAACGAGCTTGTGTTTGTCCTTCACTACAGATGCCTACTCAAAGTCTCGTTCAGAGAGTGCCTAGGTGGTCCTCATGTGTGCGTCCGCTGACGGTGAGGGCGGGCAAAATATTTATGTTTGTTAGCTGTAAATACAGGCTTTTTCTGGGGGACAGGCAGTTGGGGTGTCGCAGGTTATCTTCAGTACCATCTCCTCTTTTGTATTTGTTTTGTTTGAGAGTTTGAGACAGCGCTCACTATGTAGCCCTGGCTGGCCTGTGCAGACCAGGCTGGTTTCGAACTCAAAGCTCCCATCTTCCCTTGTCCCACAGAAATATAAGCCTGGTAAAGCCATACTTTTTTTTAAAAAAATTATTTATTTATTATGTATGCAATATTCTTTCTGTGTGTATGCTTGAAGGCCAGAAGAGGGCACCAGATCTCATTACAGAAGGTTGTGAGCCACCATGTGGTTGCTGGGAATTGAACTCAGGACCTCTGGAAGAGCATTAACCGCTGAGCCATCTCTCCAGCCCCCGGCCCATTAATTTCTAAAGGCAGTATTTTCAAGTATCTTACAAAGCTCCATCTGTTTGTTTTTTACATACTTGGTCTCCTTCTGTAACACCTTCCCAAGGAAACAAATTTTTCATCACTATGACAGAACATTTTCATTTGTCAATATCTGAATTCGAGAGTTCACTTTATTATAGGTCAATAACCTCTTTGGTTATTTCTTTTTGTTTACTATTTGCCTGATACGTTTTCTTTAAGAAAAAGTGTCATTTTTATTTTATGTGTATGGGCGCTCTGCCTGCATTTAAGTACCATATGCATGCAGTGCATGTGGAAGCCAGAACAGGGTATCAGATCCCTTGGAACTGGAATTACAAAGGGTCACGAGGCACCCTTTGTATGAGGTGCTGGGAATTGAACCCATGTCCTCTGCAAGAGTCAGCTCTCTAGCCTCTTGCCTGATTTATCTTTATCTACTCTCTTATGTTCGAATTCCATCCATTAACACAAAGCAATTTACCTTGACAATTTTACTTATCCAAGACTGTATCAAATACAACAAAACATTTTCTTAAAAAAACTAATCAATTCCAAGAAAGATCAAAGTCAATGCAATTTCCCTCAGCCAGAAGAACTACAATATAAGAATGCCTACCAGCTAAAGCAGCATCCTCTTCACTTTCCGAACCATACTGAAGCGCCATGGTAATTGCTGATAAGCGACCTCCTTGGACTGCTCTTTTATTACTACAAAGAAAAATGAGCAATTAGAAGACAGGCTGGTGTTACGATTTGTTCATCTTATGAAACAGGAACTGT